TGATGTTCCCACATAGACAAGCCTAAGCTAGCATAGATAATGAAATGGGTTAAAGGAGACAGGCGGAGGGAGAGGAGAGGAGCCAGCAACTGGTAGTAAATCAGGGAGAGAGCAGGGTTACTTTAAATTCAAGGTCTTGGTGGCAGGGCAAGTTTGCTTTGTGCCAAGAAGCACGGGGTTCAGAGGATGAGACACAACAGTGTCTTCTTGGTGGGGCCACCGACTTGTGTCCCCCACCAAACCCCACCTTGCTGCTGTCATTCCCCTGTGCCTGCCCCATGGATGTCACTGGGATTGAGCACAGCCAAGGCACCCATCCTGGCTGGTAAAGGGTAGTCAGAGGATCCTGAAGAAGGATCCTGACAGGGCAGGAGTGGGCTCTGCTCTTCAAGGCCTGCATGAGCTCTTGGTCAGGGCCTGGGGAGACCCAGCCACTGAGACTCCCCCACCTTTGGCATGGGCTTCCAGGCAGTCCAAACAAGCTAATTAAATCCTGCTCTGCTTAATCAGAGCCATTGAGCACCAGTCAGAAGAAATTAATCCCATGTTTTATTAGATGCTGTTTGAAGTCGTGTTTGGCACCTCGTCCTCAGTTCTCATCTCCTTCTGGGGAAGGAAGAAGGACATCTGTGGGGAAGAGCGAGGGTGCAGCAGATGGCAGCGGGGATGATTCAGGGGCTCGAGGAAGGAGCTGCGACTCCAGCGGCATCCCTGGGCTGGGGGGGAACGAGACACCTCTCCCTGCATCCCACAGCCCACCCCTCCCCACAGCTGAGAGTCTGTGAGCCAGGCAGGCATCCCAAAAATACATGTTCCTCCGCATTGCATGCTAATGGCTCTGCGGGAGAGGTCCCACCACAATTAAAGCACAAGGAGCATTAATATGCAACGTGGAGAGGCCACTCTTCCCACAGCTACTCCCTCCCAAACCTGTCCTTCCTGCTGCACATCCCTGCCCACTGGGAGCCTGCCCACGGGGATCCCACAGCAGTCCCAGCGGAGCCGCTGGCGGCGTGCAGTAAATTTGAGCCTTCCCTTTGCTGTGCCCAGGGGATGATGCTGCCTTTTCCCCCTGGCACCAGGCACCTTCTCCTGCCTTCAGGCTCAGTGGAGCAGGATCTGTCGGGTGCCCACCAGGTGGGCGCCATGCAATGCAGCCCTGGCATGGGAGACACCCTGACAGCTGGGAGAAATCCACGGGCAGGTGTTTAAAACAACCAGCTGGGTGATGGTTTGGGGTTTTTAATGACTTCTGGTGCAACCCAAGAAAAACTCCTGACGAAGAGAAAGTCTGGCCAAAGTAAGGTAGCCCCCAGGTGGCCCTGCACACCTTGGGAGCACTCGGTAGCCTCAGTACATCCTCCTGCAGCTTGGCTAGGTGAAGCTGCTGGCTTTGGGTGTGGGGAATTTATTTTTTCCCAAATTTCCTGTCACAACTTGCGTTAAAACTTTGCAGAGCCACTTAATTGCATTCTGCGGTGGTGATGATATGAAATTAGTCTCCCTTCTGATCTTTAGCTAAGTTGGTCCAAAGCACCAGCTTATAATTTGCTCTAATCATCAGGTCGGGGGAGATGCGAGGGCAGGGCCAGTGCCCGGTGAATTCACACGGGCTGGGAGTGTCCTTCCTTGCCATGCCAGCATTTGGCACCTGGCAGGTCGGGCTCTGCCACCCTGGGATGGCAACATTGATAATTTCTTTTGGTGCCACTTTGGGAAGCTTTTCATCAACTGCTCTTGGCTGTTTCCTCTAGAAAAAGCTGGGAACTACAGCTGTGTGGAAGAGAAGAGGGAAAGCCGAGGTGGTTTCCTGTCTCCCTTCTCGGCCTGTTCTGTCCTCTGAGCATCTCGGAAACATCCTCCACTCCTGTCTGGAGACCTGGAACCGGACTGCTGAAGGCACCTGGAGGGGAAGGGATCCTGTCTCCCATTTCACTTCCCTGGGCTTGCTTCATGTCCCAAACTACTCCATTTGTAGTTTGGGACATGAAGAAAGCATTTGGGAGAGGAAGTGGCTGGGTTTTGCCTACTCACCTATCCCAGAAAATCATGGGAGTTACAAGAAAACAAGCTCCAGAAGAGGAGCAGGGCAGGGCAATATTCTGGGCACGGAGAGGCCCTTCTGCTGCCGAGGGCACGGCGCCCATCATTCCAGTGGCATTAGTGCTTTCCACCTCCACGCAGGAGGTACAGGATATCATGGTATTATTTTTAACCAGGGATATTTAGTGAACTTCTCACGTGCTGCTGGAGGGTCAGATTTATCCCATAGCCTCAGTCCCAGGGGACACTCCCAGTTATTTTTGAACTCATCAGAGCAGCAGAGGAGCAGAGGGATGCAGAGGCTCGGGAGACACAAAGTCTGGGGTTTGTCTGGCCTGTCCCTCTGGTCTGTGCTGCAGGGGCGTGCGTGGAGCAGAGCCCCTCACGCCTGCCTTGTCATCACCACCGTCACCCCGGCCCCCACCATAAAACCTAAAACTTGGGTGAAGCCCCAGTTTTTCATTTTCAGCTGAGACGATCCTGGACGCCTGCAAGTTTTGATCCTTTTCGACCTACCGCATTGCAAGATTTTCCCCCCCCCCCCCAGTTCAATTTAAACCTCAATTTACCCTGCGAACGAGTTTGGCCCTGCTCGGGCAGGTCCCG